AGTCTTGTAACCAGACACATTTGAACAAATATGAAAGGAAGTGTGTGAAATAACCCTCATCTGCAGGGGGAAAAAAGTTCTACTTTTGTTATGCTTGCCTGGGTACAGCCTAAGAAAATGAACATGAACCACCTCTTTATATTCACTTATGATAAATTTAAATGGAGGAAAGTGATATTAAACAGAGAGGACTTTGAAGATGAGTTTGATTCAATGTTTACCTGCAGAGCTGTCTAAAGAAAATTTTAACAAAGTAGCTTCTTTCTTGAGGCTGTGTTCAAAAGTAAATCACACCTTTTACATAATGGAGTGAAATTTATCCCCAATAAATTTGGCCTATTGTATTTCAATTGTACCCCTCTGCAGTTCTATTTTTCCAGCATACATCACCTCTTCACTCCATTCAGAGTGGCAAAATAAATGGTTTCCAATGGCAATGAAAATTGCCTTTCAAATTATTAATTCAATTCATTTGGCTCCAGGCAAATTTTAAGCATAGACTCTCAAGGATTGACCTTGTTTCTGACTAGGAAAGCCTGATCCAAATGTCAGTCTAGTCAACGGGGGAGTATTGACTTCGATCAGGCTTTCAATGAGGCCTTCGAACCGCAATGATGGGAGAAGAGAAAATTGTATATATCTTTCTCTGATCTTTCAAAAAGACCAGACAATGCTTTCATATGGGAAATGAGTAAACAGACAGTTCTTTGTCTCTTGGGGCAGACAGCCATCTTCTCCCCAGTTTCCCCCACCATTTCTGATTAGTTGCTGTGCCGTGTGGTTAAGCAAGAAAAGGCCAAGACAAAACTCCTGACAAAGCTCAAAGGTGCTTGAGCTGCGTGACTTATCTGCATGCCAACCATTACCACCCAAAATCCAGATACAGGCTGTCATGGTTTAACCTCAGTCAGCAACTGAGCACCACAGAGCCGCTCACTCACTCCCCCCGCCCTGGTGGGATGGGGGAAAGAATTGGAAAAGCAGAAGTGAGAAAAACTCATGGGTTGAGATAAAAAAATTTTCCTCTCTACTCCCTTGTCCATGCATGAGTTTCCCCAGGGGGTGGGCAACAGCTACATGAGCTAAAAAAGATCCCTAAAGTGCTCTGAGAAATTGAGGGACTAAACCGGAGGGCTTCTCTCTGTTGAGCTACTTTGCCTGAGAGAGAGGCACAGACTGAGCTCCTAACTGTGTTATTGACCTGCTGTCTGTCTGCAAAATTGGTTTAAGAAGTGAAAGTTGGTTTGAGTTTAAGGAAAGTTTGTTTAGGCTCTGTTCCTATCACAGTGGTGGAAAACAACATCTGTAAGGCCAGCTGAAAGAATTAGATCAGTATGCAAACTAAATAAAATGGTCTTCAGGACACCCTGCATGCCTGTTGTAACAATCCATAAAGTTGAAGGCACTTGCTTCAGGCTCTAAGTGATAGGTCCTTAGTACAAGGAATTTCCCATCACATTTTACCTCTTTGCCCACTCACTCCTACCTCCCTGCCACACAGTGTTAACATGTCTGTTTGTGGGGCCATGGCGTGACCTGTATTCCAGAACTGATGAGGCTTTTTTAAAAAGTGCCCTGATGGTGGGTGAAAAAGTTTTATTTTAAAGCCAGATCAGTTCAGAGTAGAGCCCCACAAGTCATTAAATGCAAGGAAGAGTTGGAGAGTGGGGGAAGATAATGACACCAGTGGCACATGTCATTCCTGACAGAGCTGAGCAAGGGGAGTTACAACCTAAAACTAAGACTTGCAGAGATTTCTGATTGGCATATATAAAATATACTTCAGTAAGTGGACATGACTGTTGCTTTATGAGATATATCCTTCATTTGTTACTCATATTTCCTATTAATTGGACTGCAGAAACTTCCTCCTTAAAATTACAAGAGCTCCACTGAAAATAGTGCTTGCTACCTTCCAATTCTTAGGAAAAAAAACTACTCTTAGTGGTTAGTTGCACACCTGGAGGCATCACCTAGATTAAACAGTGATACTAAATGTCAAAGGAGCAAAGCTTATGAGAATCTCTCAAAATTTTTGTGTATTTTAAATCTGGAAATCTTGAATACGGATTTAACAACAAAAATTCAGATCAACCTCCCAAAATATTAATCCACTGTAGGCATAGATCATTAGTAAGCACAGAAAGAAAGATTCAAAAAGGAAGCTTTTTTTAATGAAGCTACTGACTTATCCCAGGTTTTTCTTATACTAGACCAAAAATAGACCTATAACTTTATCTGGTCATGGAACTACAAAAGCAATGAAATAACCAAGCTTTTTCTGCCTCTTCTTTTCTCCCTGTCCAGCTTTGAAAGACAGGACCCTCCCTCTCCTTGGAAATCCCTCCCAGAAACCAAAGATCATATTTCAGAACAGTCTGGCTAATGCATGAAGATTAGCTAAAGATAATGAACATAGATGGCCAGAATTACTGGAGGCACTGAAAGAAGATCCTCTCTCAATGGGTGTGCAACATCCTAAGTCGATAAAAATTGCAAGGAGTGGGATTCAACAAATTTTTTTTTCCCCTATTTTGAAATAATACCTATGAATGTAAGACTCTGAGTATAGGGGGCATATCTGGAATGTTTACAAGTAAACAGATGCTATATTAAAATGAAAATTAATTATAAAAATAATATAAATAAAGGATATCTCTTTTGCTTGTTTATTCAATTCCTTTACATTAACATTCATCAATAGGAGTGTTTTGTGGTGTTTTTTAAAAAATCTTTCTGTTCCTGGAAGGGACAACATCTGCCATAAGCTTTGGAAAGTGTCCAGAATATCAGACATTGTCACATTTCAAAGAAATACCTTGACCAGTTTGTATTTGTCTATCCCATTATAAATACCATCTGTTGTACTGTTAGAAAACATTTGTGTGATGTTATTTGACTGCAGAGCATATTCATCACTATGACCAGACCATGCAAATAGATAACAGGATCATAAGATTCCCAGAACCCAAGTTTAATGTTCGTTCACTGAAGTCGAGTTATGTTGCTCTAAACATGCTATGAATGATATGAGGCCTCATAACATACCACCTATCTTGTCCACTTTAATACAGGCAGAAGTAGGCACAGGTTGTACTAGATCATCAATCCTCCTTCTGCACACCCAGCTCCTCTGTCACTTTCTACTTTTGTCTTGCCCACAGCACCTACCGCCAGCTTCAACCCTTGTGTCCCTATTCCCTTCTTTTCAATGTACAGTGCAAAGTTCCCCTGCCATAAGATTAACATGCCATATGTTACCATCTGCTCCAAACAGAGTGTCCACGGGAAGTGGTAAAAGTAAGTATTCTCACTCTGTTCAGAAACAGACCTTGATATAAACTTGACAATTCCCACACTGAATATATAAGCATCCCCTCTCAATAAGCAGAGGTGTAAAAGTTGTTCATAGCAAAAATTAGATGTTATCAAAAGTAGTCAGGATATAAAATCTTATGCTAATGTGATGTATCAGTGGCATTATTTTTGACTATAATCTTATTCATATGTATTTGTGAAGCGAAGGCTGCACACCAAAGGCATCACCTGGCACAGAATACCTTCACTACATGATGTGACGTAGGGTGATTTATACACTGTTACATTAAACTGTTAATATATTCATGTATTCCCATACAAAAGAGGCTGCAGTTATTTACCAGCTATCATTTGTTATCATGACGGAAACATGATTACAACAATCTGCATATAAAATCTAACTTTTTTTTTTTTAAATACTGCAGAACAAGCTTTCTACATATCTGTAGGAGGACAAAGATCTCTACATACTAACATTGGACCAGCATCACCCCAAAAAGGGCTTTGAATAGTATGAAGGCTGCCAGAGAAACATACTCAGTGTGTGGGAAGGACAATCTGCTTTCTATTGGTTGTAATAAAGCCAGTAGCATCTGCTGCTGTTCAGAAATGCCATTACCACTACTCAATCTCTTAATAACATTTTTCATTCCCAGATCATATTCTAAGCCTTCCATTCCGAGTTTGTCTGTTTGAACAGAGGCGACCCAGTATGATCCTAGAATTCATCACAGAACCTAATTCCAGAAAAGTCATTAAATGGTGCTGTCATTAGACAGGGACTGGAGAAACCTGCTTTTAAGGCAGTATGAAATTCTAGTCACTTATAGCAAGATGAACCCACTCAACTCTGTCAATATAAGGAATAATGAAATCAGGCAAGCTTTTCCATAACATTTCCCTTTAATCATATACTCTTCTGAACACTGGGTAAAATCTTAAGCTCTAACTCAAATTAATTAAAAAAAAAAAAAAAGAAAGCAATTTAGCACACAGTTTTGATTTTCTGGACACCTGATGGAGCATAAGTGTGTGAAGAAGATTTGAGGAGACTTCCCTTGCTCACTCCCAAAACCAATGACCAGATGCAGAGCAAGAAGTGGCTGCAATACTCCATGGACTATTATAAAAAGGACAGAAATAGTTCTGGTCTCCAGGAGTTGGAACAACCTGCATTCAAATATTAGCCAGAACTACATGTTTTCTAGTATTCGTGCCTCTGTGCCTCAGATATTAAGCAGGAACACATTCTGATTCAGCTACAGTTTCAAATTATTTAGCTCTCTTCTGCACTGGGAAGACCAGACGCTTTCTGATTACCCATTGATACCAATATAGTCAAAATGGTTATTCTACATAAATACACTGGATGGTAGATTAAGAAAAAAAAATAAATGTCAATTAAATGAAACTAAGTCACTTAGGAGACTCCAGAGTAAGCACTTTTAGCAACAAGTGGCCCTAGAGCACACACAATCCTGTATATTGAACTTAGTTTTCAGCCATTGATGATACTTCAGCCCCATAGGGAATGTGAAATTATTATTAAGTAAAGCAAAAGTTTATACTCTTGACAACTGACTGGCAAAAAACCAACAACATCAACCTGTCATCATCTATGTATTTGACCACATCAAAGTAGTTTGAAGGCATTCTTATATGGAAAAAACCCAACCTCTTACCTTCAGTATGTACAGCAGAAACATAGGTCCAGTTATAGCGCTTGACAATGTCCACCATAGCCCGTGCTTGCTGTGCATCAGATGGCACAACTCTCATAAAATACTTGAACAGAGTTTTGTCACTTAGGTCCATGCTTGTGGCAGAATAAGCAATCTGAGGTATATTGAAAAGCTGCAACAAGTTCTGGACCTGGATAGCAACTGAGCTAGAGCCAGGTCCAATGACACCAACAATGGGTTTCTTGGAGCGGAAAGACGATGAAGATCCATCCACACATCGCACCATCCCTTCCTCTTCTTCTGATGAAATAAGAGAGTCCCTTATAAACTCAATGCTCTGTTCCAGAGCCACAGCAGAATGCCAGCAGGAGTCCCTTATTTCACATCCCAGCGTTATATTTGGCAACAGCGTGGGGTCCAAATTAATTCTGTCAAGGGTATGTAGCATTGCCTCCACTCTCTGAATGCCATACTGCTCTCTTACCTCTCCACATTTCCTCTCATGAACCTTGTCAACAGTTGGTTGATGGTGGACAGAGAATAGAGCTCCAATGATAATATCACCAGGCATGTGTGCAACCACTCTTCTTTCATTGGCCTGTGCAGAAACCAAAAGCCCAAAGTTCCCACAGACATCCTCCTTCAATAACAGGATTGCAAGGAACAGCAAAAGGACCATTTTAGGAAATGGTTTAGGCTGGTAGAGACAACATGATGGAACAAAACTGGAGAGCTGGTGAAAAGCAGTTATCAAATCTTTTGGATAAAAGGAGCACTATGCTGATGGTTAACCAGGAGTTTGCGTATATTCTCTAAGGAGTGACCATCATCTCCAAGTGGACAGCTGTGCAGAGCTGCACATGTGATCATAATCCTCATAACCTTCAAAAATGAATAAATAAGAGAAAAAGCTTTAAAATTAGTTATAAAGTCAGCTTAGTAATCTGTTCTAAAATTGCACCTCTTCCTACTGCTCTCAGTGACTGTAATACCGTCTCCTATACACACTTGCTTCCATAATTTTTCAAGCTGGAAAATTTTGTTGTACTTCAGTGTTTCTCACTCTTAGGCTTGTAATTCTGCTGATATAAATCAGTGTCTTTCTCTTTGACACTCTTGTTTAAAAACTCTTTTGGGAAACATTTTCAAAAGCACAAAAGACAGACAAGAATATAATTCCAAAGAAGAAAGATGTTGCCATTTCTAATGTGTGTCTTTGAAACCAACTCCCTTTACTTTCAGACACTTTCTATATCACAAATGCATATGTCACACTACTGTACCTCGGACTGTACTATGTTATCAATTACAGCACTAGGAAACTGCTGTTGACAAACAGAGCCGTTTTTGAAATATTCTAAGGAATACAGAATTTGGTTCTTCAAATCTATAAATCTGTTTTTTCTTTGTAAGCCACAACATGAAACAAATTAACTTTTAAAATAAGTTAGGATTAAGGAAACTGATTTTGTTATTAAAATTTGCATTTGTTTTAAGCAGTGAATATTTCAGCAGAGGAACAACAATTCTAAAACACCAGAGCAGTGAAATTCTTTTCATCTTTTTATATCCTTAAATCAAACATCACCAATAAGCAATTTGACAAATCCTGGTACTGTGGACAACTATCCAGACTTCACTGATAGAAAGAAGTCAACACAGAGACTATACAGATGCGTTACTGCCTAAAATATTTGATCTGCTATGTTTGCCGATAGTCTGCAATGCAATCTGCACTTGGCTTTAGTGTTGACGAAGGATCAAAACAAAAAAAAAAAAAAAAAAAAGAAAAAAAGAAAAGAATCAGCAAAGAATTTGTATCTTGGGCTGTAGTTAATGGAACTTGAAAATGTACTTGAAAATGTTCTGTACCTAGCAGTGGATTTGCAGCAGGATGCTTCTGGTTTTAAATATAGTGCTTAAACAGTAGTTTGTCCAGGTCTTGATTCCTGAGCCCATTAAAGTATCGTCTATTGCTCTACACCTGCCAGTGGATCCATTGATAGTACAGAAAGTTAAGCACACTCTTAAATCTGGGAAGATGCTGAGCTAGTTAGCGAACCACGTGCCCAGTTTCATTATTGACAAAACAAATGCAAAATTCTGGGACAGAGCCTGATCTCAGTTTTACTAACATAAATCTTTTGATGTAATAAAAAAGAATACAGAAATTTCCATACATTTCAGACCAACCAGTCATTTCTAATCCATTAACAATCATTAAAAATACTCAGATGTTGTAAAGTGAAAGAAACCCTTGCCATAGGAAATCTACCTCTGTTTCTTCCAGGTTCAAAATCTAGCAGTATTTTAATCTTGAATTTACCCCTTACAGCTAGGTCATTCAGTACAGTGCCACAGTGAAAATCTTCCTGATTCCGAAGATGAGACAGTCAAACCTAAAAACACTGTTCTGTTTGAGGTTAACCTTGTTTAATTAGTATTTTACCTAGACATCTATAACCTATGAACTATTTACACAGAGGAAATCATGCAATAGTTTTAGTGAATATTCCCAAATGAAATCCAAATCTTTAAAAAGAGGAAACATTGAATAGAAATGGTTTTGTAATATTAATTGCAATATTAATATGTTCATGTAATATTAATTTCTAGTAATAGAAAGTGTTAAAAATAAAATAATGTTCAGACAATTGTAGAACACTTCAAGAATTTTTTTTTCTAGTCTGTGAAGAGTTAGCTTATCGATACTGCAACCCTTTGCCACTAAGGAATAACAGCAGTTCAATTCAGGTTAATTAGTCTCTAATTACAGAATATCACTACTGCTTATCTCTTCCAGTTGTTTGTTCCGTGACTCTGAAGACGGTACTGTATAATTTGCAAACAGTCCAAAGGATGAATGACAGGGGATATCTTTGTACAATATCACAGCTATTAAATTCCTATACCTCCAATTAATTTAATGTATTATCACTAAAAAAAAAAATCTTTAATTATTTCCTAACTTATTAACATTTGAACAGAAATAATACTCTGTTTTTTAAGACCGTGGATGCTTATTTTTCTGAGCTTCTCAAATTAATGCTACATGTACAGAGTGCAACTATATCTAGACAAATGCCAGCTCTGCCTCGGACTGTAACTGGATATACAATTAGATGCCTTTTTATAATCTAAATGCCTGAGCAGCTGCATATGTACAAATAGAGAGACTTCAGAGGACTGGGGTGAGCTTGTGACACAAAAAAAAATCCAAACCCCAACCACCATTTTAATTCTACAACACACATCAAGTTTAGTAATACTTGGTCTTACGTCTGGATTAAACAATTTCCATACAGGATATACAAGAAAGAGAGGGCAGCAAGGCCATTTTGATCTTCTTCACTCCAAAGAACAGCTGTTTGCTTTTCTCTGTCTACAGTTGTATCTATCAGTATAAAATTACAGGGTAAAAAATGAAGTAAAGCTGAAAGTCTCCTTTAAATTCCTGGTTCCATAATAATAGCAGATCTCATGGCCAGGGGGTTCCTATGGCCCAAAAGCAAGTTCTGAAAGCAGTCAAATCCTTCCATTCCATGGCATCCAAGAGAACAGAAGGGGCCAGGTACAGACTGCAGTTGTTCCAGAATTAATGAACTTTCTTCACCTACTCCACTGTACTAAAGTGAAAGGTCAATTTACCTGGGACGTACAAAGCTGTTCCTAATTATACCAAGAAAACTGCTTGTGTTTTATAGTATTAGGCTTAGGACTCATATCCAAAGCATCTGGAGTGAATGCTTTCTGTGGGCTTTCATGATGCAGTGAAACAACCCGGAATTTATATTGACATGGCTAAGTGAACCTGCTAAATTTCAATGGATTTGTATTCATATAACAGAGATCTGGTTCTATGGGCTTACTCTTGCTCTCATAAACCTAAAAATCACAGAATAGTTGAGGTGGGAAGGCACCTTGGGAAGCTGTCTGGTCCATCCACCCTACTTAAGGTTCAACTAAAGCAGGTTTGTCAGCTTCATGTCCAGTCAGGTTTTTAATATCTTTGAGGGTGGACACTCCACAGTATTTCTGGGCAACCTATTCTAGTGTGACGACGGTCAAGTAAAAAGGGTTATTTTTTATGTTTAAACCAAATTTCCTGTATTTCAATTTGTGCTTATGGCCTGCCACCCTTCCACTGGATACAGCTGGTTATGCCGTGCAAAGATGCCGTGAGAGTAACTGGGTAACATCTGCCATTTTACGCCGAAATGTCTGAGCAGAGAGCTGATAGACTAAGCACACTAATTACATTTCCTAGAGAACATCTTCCTGAAGAGAAGATGGTCAAGGGAACTGTTCAAATACACAATCTTACTGCTCTTCTGTCCCAAGAGAATCACATGCAAGACACTCCACATTTTGATTACCATTCTTTCCTGCTACAGGAAGCTTATTATTACAAGCAGGATGAGTACTAAAATAAAATTAAGCAAAATTTCATAAGTTTAAATACAACTCCTGTTTAAATTGCTAGGGATAACCCAAAAGGGAGTTTGATATGCTATAGCCTTCAGACTGAGAATCATAGAATCAGATTACCATTCTTTCCTGCTACAGGAAGCTTATTATTACAAGCAGGATGAGTACTAAAATAAAATTAAGCAAAATTTCATAAGTTTAAATACAACTCCTGTTTAAATTGCTAGGGATAACCCAAAAGGGAGTTTGATATGCTATAGCCTTCAGACTGAGAATCATAGAATCATAGAATCATTTTGGTTGGAAAACACCTTTAATATCACCAAGTCCAACCATTAACCTAGCACTACCAAGTCCACCACCAAACCATGTCCCTAAGCACCTCATCTACACAGGTTTTCAATACCTCCAGGGATGGTGACTCCACCACTTCCCTGGGCAGCCTCTTCCAATGCTTGACAACCCTCTCGGTGAAGAAATTTTTCCTCACATCCAATCTAAACCTCCCCTGGTGCAACCTGAGGACATTTCCTCTCGTCCTTTCGCCAGTTACTTGGGAGAAGAGACCGACACCCACCTCGCTACAACCTCCTTTCAGGTAGTTGTAGAGAGCGATGAGGTCTCCCCTCAGCCTCCTTTTCTCCAGGCTAAACA